CGAGAGAGGGGGGGAGAGAGAGGGAGGGAGAGAGAGAGAGTGAAGAGGGGGGGATCTCCTTTCTTTTTGTGAATGTTTTGCTGACTATGTACGCTTTTGTAGAAGTGTTGAGTCTTTCATTTAAGTTCATTCCTCTAGTGTCCTGACCACAGCTGCCTTTGACATTCCCTTGTTATCGATCCTCATCACAATTTACCCCCTTTCAAAATAAACGTTCCGTGAAATTGTTATTGAAGTAACTTTGATCACTCCATGAGACTGCCTTACCTGAGCTCATGAGCACTTACATTAAGGAACATAATAATAACAGTCATATCAGCAAAATATTTCCCTTTTCGTTATTTGATTCCCAGAATAATGTATAAGGTAGGGCAAACAGCAACAAGCCGCAGCAGACTGTCAAAATTGGATACTTCCGTATTATTTTTGTCTTTGTAACAGCTGAGATAGGAGATAATAGCCTGCAACATTTTATCATGATATTAGGGTACTCGTTGCTACATGTAGGCTTAGTGCAAGGAGAACCCACTGAATTTATTCAGTAATGATATTTTTGAGGCCTCGTAATGTTTTTTGTTGATTTGTCAGTTAATTAAAAAAATAGGGATTAGTGTAAAATAAGTATGTAATTATTAGTGTTTGTTGATTTGTCATATTCTTAAACCTGATAAACGTATCCTTTGTTGAAGAAAGGCGTGCCTACAATCATGGCAGATGGAACCCTTAAAATCTTCAAAAACAACTCAGGGTCTGAAACGAACTTGAAAACATGTCTTTCTGACTTTGCATCTTTCCTCTCAGGTAAACAATACTCTTAAAAATCTGGAACCAGAGTGTTATACATGTAATGAGTTCGCTGCAGTAGGGGTCAAACAGTGCTGATGTCTTGACAATAATATGATAGTCAGTCAACAGTTTAATAGACCAGCTGTATGAGTTTGCAAAAGTCGTGCTTTGTCATGGTGAGGTAAAGCAAAGGTGTATGACCCACATCTGGTTCTTGTTACCTTTACTTGTATCTGAAACATGACTTTTTAACGTTTTTTAAAGTTTTAGTAAGAGTTTACGGCACTTGCAACTCAATAGGGTCAAATAAGCGCCGAAGATTAGAGGTGTTACAAGATAGTAACAAACACACCAAAAAAAAGGAGGGGAGATAGAGATGATACATTTTTTTATAGGAAAGAAGGAGCAAACCACTCCAGAGCACCCGCCAGCCACCCACGAAAAATGACAAATCCTACAGTTTTATTCCGTCAACAATGTACGACATCAGCGAATTCAGTCTCCCGGAACTGATGAATGAAGATTATTATATTATTATTGTAGCTGAGGGTTTACACTTTTCAACTCAGTCAATATAATTCTTCAAAATACGTGTCTCGTTTCAGTAGTCTATTGACAGATCCAGTTTCAGATTCTAATCACCCTAAAATTTCACACTAATCTAATTTCAAAGTATAAGTTGAGGTTAAACACACACGCACACGGCCATGTGTGTGTGTGTGTGTGTGTGTGTGTGTGTGTGTGTG